AGATCCCCCAGATTCTGAGAGCTCTGAGCAAGGACCTCGGTGAGGCTCCTGTGGAAAAGCAGAGCTGAGGCCCTGATGTTCTCCTGGTTCAGAGGGCTCTGGGGTCCAGGTAACCAGGATCAGCTGCTTTAAGGCTTGGACGCTCACAGATCACTGTCCTCCAGGTTCTGAAGACTCCACGCAGGCCCTGCAGGAGCCCAGGCTGAGACTCATCCTGGCCGGGAAGACAGGGACAGGGAAAAGCGCCACAGGGAACACCATCCTGGGCCACAGGCGCTTCCTCTCCAGGCTCGGGGCCACCACAGTGACCAGAACCTGCGAGGTGCAGAGTCGCAGATGGGGCCAGTGGCACTTGGAAGTCATGGACACCCCAGACATTTTCAGCTCCCAAGTCCCCAAGACAGACCCGGGGTGCAAGGAACGGGCCCGCTGCTACCTGCTGTCAGCGCCCGGGCCCCATGTGCTGCTCCTGGTGACTCAGCTGGGCCGCTTCACTGAGCAGGACCAGCAGGCGGTGAGAGCGCTCAAGGGCCTGTTCCGGGACCAAGTGATGGCACGCACCATCGTTCTGTTCACGCGCAAGGAGGACCTGGGGGGGGGCTCACTGCGGGAGTATGTGCGGGACACGGACAACCGTGCGCTGCGAGCACTGGTGGCTGAATGCGGGGGCCGCGTGTGCGCCTTCAACAACCGGGCGGTGGGTGGGGAGCAGGAGGCCCAGGTGCAGGAGCTGCTGGACCTGGTGGAGCGCCTGGTGCAGGACCACGGAGGCGCCCCCTACTCCAACGATGTGTACCGCCTGGTGCAGGAGCTGTCCCAGGAGGACCCTGAGGAGCGGAGGCGCAGGGTGGCCGAGAGTCTGGCAGGCCTGGCGCTGGGGTGGCAGAGGCGCTGGTGGTGGGACTGGTGGCTCCCCTGGATGTCGCTGCCAAGGATGCTGCGCTGGGCCATGCTGCTGGGCGTAGTGGTCCTGGTTTACCAGCTGGCCAGACACTGGCCTGAGGCCATTGTTGAGGTCCCTCCTGAGTGACAAACTCTAAATAGAGCTCTGACCCATCAACTGAGAGTCGCATTAATCCCTGCTGTCTGTGCCTCCAGGGCTTTCTTCCAGGGCTCACCTGCCAGTCATCCACCAAGGATAAAATCCCCCCAGGGCCCCATCTCCCCCCCAAACCTGCCCACGTGACCTCACCCTCCCTCAGCACTTCTCTTACTGGAGCCAAACAATTGTTGATGCTTTTGCCTGTTTCCCACTCACATCAGGCTTCCTCCCGTCATGGAATCATCCCTGGTCTCCCCAGGGGACCAAAGTTCAGAGCCAACACAAAGCCTCAGTCCAGACCTATTTGTTTCAATTGAATCTGAATTGAATGAATAAATGCCCCAGACATTCACGTTGTGTTAACAGAAATTAGCATTTGTAGATGTTTGTTCATCTGCCTTATGTGCCCGTTGAAAAAGCTGCTCTGTCATTCCTAACCCCTCCTGCAAAACCTCGCACCTAAGTGCAGACACACACACACACAC